GGTCCATGTGACTGTGGGGTTTCTCTGAGAGGCTTATAGCTGGTCCAGGAGAAATATATCTCTCTATACGTGTATATGATAGATATATATATATGGTATTAGTATAGGGATACATAACATTTTGAGGAAGTTTCCTGATCCTAAAAATCAACAGTGAAAATTAATAAAATTTGAAGAGTAAAATAAAATGAACTATGTGGTTCATACCTGTAAAAAATTTACAATCTGCTAACAATTTTATAGCAGAGTTCTAGTAAAACGTCCTAAATAACAAGGAATTATGTAGGAAGAAGGAGTCATTCCATATTTAATTTCATTCCCATATATTTTAATAGAGTGGGTGCCACTGTTTTCACTGTCAATTTTTCCTTGTCTCAATCTAATGATCCAGGGACCTAATTACTTAGGGCATTAAGATCTTGATATTTAAGAGACATTCTTCCTCATTTTACCATGACTTAACTTTGCATGCTGCCCCAAATATGGTGGAATAAAATAATGCATTATGTACATGTTTTCAAAGTTATTTGTTTACCGAGTTGAGTATCTGTCTTGGACATTTTTTTATATAAAAATTTATTTAATCTATTCATTTTGGCTGCTTTTGTTCTTTGTTGTGGTGCACGGGCTTCTCATTGCAGCGACTTCTCTTGTTGCGGAGCACGGGCTGTAGGCACGCGGGCTTCAGTAGTTGTGGCTCGCGGGGTTCGTTGCCCCGTGGCATGTGGGATCTTCCCAGAGCAGGGCTCGAACCCGTGTCCCCTGCATTGGCAGGCAGATTCTTAACCACTGCGCCACCAGGGAAGCCCCCTATCTTGGACTTTACTTCCACCTCCCATCATGGTTGACCATCAGCATTGTAGTGGCTGAGGTTCATAGAGCCCTTTCAGCTGCACTTCACATGTTCTTTCCCCAAATGCTACTGTGTCTCAATATTCTTCAGCCAGTATTTACGTAGCAGGGAAATATGTCTCATCTCTTCTCTGTGACTGTCTAAAGGGCTGCACATCTATAAAGCGGCCTCATTCTTCTGTTCTCTGCCCTACATCTGTGCCTTTGACAGCTGGCTCCTTAAGAGCCTGGGAATTGCTTGCATATGGTTATGCCACCAGCAGCACCTTAGGGCTCAGGTTTGAAAACTGACATGTAACCTAAGCAGTCAGAGATAGATGCTAACATATTTTTTCTTTACTGCATTTTTTCCCTGTTCGGTTTCGTGTTTTCCATAATCATGATTAGGTTTATGTTGGTTGTTTTTTTGTTTCTTTTTTTTTTTTAGCTTCCTTTTGTAATCTAAGAACCTGAAGTTCCCCAGAATTTGACCATGTCCTCAGAGGTGGGGAATCTGGGACTTGTGCAGGCTCTAATCCTAATTGAGTAAATGTGGGTAAATCATTTGACAGAAGTCTCTGTTCCTTCATCTATCATATGGATTTAAGGATTTCTTTAAAGTTTTGAAGAGATTATTTGTGAGCATGTGCTTTGAAAGGTATAAAGTGCTGTACAGTTTGACTTGATATTATAATATTATATATATATTTTTAAGTATCTATTTATTTATATATTATTTATTTTGGCTGTGCCGTGTCTTAGTTGGGGCACGTGGGATCTTTGTTGCAGCACGTGGGATCTTTTCATTGAAGCATGCGGACTTCTTAGTTGTGGCATGCATGTGGGATCTAGTTCCCCGACCTGGGATGGAACCTGGGCCCCCTGCATTGGGAGGGTGGAGTCTTACCCACTGGACCACCAGAGAAGTCCCCTATAACAATGTATTTTTGACATACGTCTATCAAATTTCTGTAGGAAATCACATGGATGAATTTTTGTTGTATTATAATAGCCAGCTATTTCACCTAATTCAGCCAAACATCTGGTCAAATCCATTGTAATGTTATTTTGACTGAATTGATTAATAGGCATGAGAAGAATCTCCCCAACCCCTGTAAAGAAAGTCCAAAATAGCCTGGAAATTTAACTTTGCTATTTAATAAAGAAGTTTCCTGTTTATCTCATTAACGGCACCTATATGACTCACTTCGGAGCCAGATGTTGTACTTCACCATTTCATAACGTGTCATTTCTGCACACCGGATTTCTTTTCATAGTTTCTGAAGCAAAATCTATTTCATCCCATCACCAGGATATTGTTGGTGACAGCTGCAACACCTGAATAGGTAGCTTCAGCTTTCATATGGACATAGAGGTGGAACATGTTCTCAGAACGGAGCCAGCAGGGGATGAAACATATGGCAGGAAGTGGAAGAAGTGAAGACTAGTTTCTGTAACAAACTCCTGTGAGTTTTGACAAGGCTCTCTGATATACTGTCAAACCACCCCAGGCTGAGAGGCAGGTAAAGCTTCTCTATCTCTAGTCTGAACACTAAGATTTGCCTGAGGAAAGAACTTGCTTACATTGTTATCCAAAAAACCGTTGGGAGGCAGTGAGTTCTTCATTACTGGGTATAGTAAAGAAATGGTTTGTAACCTTCACAGCTCATCAGATTCACCTGTGTAGATGTTTCGACCATCTCCACCCACCAACCCCCATCCCACCTCTACCCTTAGATATTTAATTCAGTAGATCAGGGATGGCGTTCAGGCACCTATACTTGTAAGAAGTCCTTCTGATGTTTCTGATGTGCCAAAAGCTAGGCAGAAATGTATTAGATAATCTAATTACTTAATGGATGATTGTTCTCCGAGATGGACTTTAAGGCTGGTGCTAATGCTGTGTTTACGTGAAAGTATGAAGATAAATCTTCATTTGAAGGGGTCAAAATCTGAAATGTATACAGGGACTAATATATAAAATGGATTGTGAAGCGCTTCTGTGAAATATAATGTGTAGCTGTGGGGTTGTGGCATATTGAAGAGTGATGCTCTGTGGAAAGGCACTCCAGTTATCAAAACACATCTGTGGACAGATTTGGCCCCCTTCGGCCTCCACTTTGACCTGAGTATAAAGTCTTCTGGGGGTTGAGGTGTTGGGGAGATCCTTCTCATGCCTGGAGTTTTCTTCAGCTTTTCCAGTGTGGAATAGTCAGTACTATTTTCTTTTTCAGGTTTTTAAAACAATGTTAAAACATTAAACGTAAGAGGTATATCTTGTAGATTGTCTTTTATAAAGATGGAGGATAAGACTATGATTAAAATGGATCCATTTCCTTCTCTCGTTTTATCCCCCGGCTTATCCCATCTGATGACATGTTTGAAACTAGTTTGACTTAGATCTGGATAAGCAGAGTATGGGGAGCTTGATCTTCAGTTTACCTAGATTTCTTTTGCTCCTGCATCCAGTCCCTAATTCTGTAGGACACTGGTAAGAAAACGTTAATAAACTAAGAGAAATATAAATGAATAGCAAGCACTTCAAGAAGATTTAAAGAACTATTTTAAAGTTAGAAGTATTTTAGGGGCATCTGCTGAAAATGTTGCCTAACTGTGGTATTCATTTTTTTCACTTTGGGGCAATGGAATTTTATGAGTCACTAAATACGTATTTTGACATCTGGCTTCACTGCTTTTTTTTTTTTCTTGAATGCTATAAATTCTCATCATAAGAGTTTCCTTCTTGTCAGTCTTTTGATACTACACTTTCAATCATTTTCTGGGTGATTTACAGATGGTTGTACCTAATTGCTTTAGGTCTTAGTCTCTTGTGAATTCTCTAGGCTAGGGTAAGGTGTTAGGGCAAGGAATGGATATGTTCAATTTTATGTGAGGACAAGCTAAGTTTTGGCCTTCCTTAACTGTGTCATTTTTATCCTTGTGCCTGTTTCATTTGCTAATGTAAATTATTATATCTAGCATTATTTAGGCATTTCTTTCAGATTTTAAGATTCTCTTGCCTTAAAATTGCTTTCTGACACCTCTAGTCTTAATTACAGCTACCAGTTTTGGAACTCTGATCCATGTGAGATTCTCAGATATTTTAATTTTGAATTTGTCTGCTGATTTTGTTTTGTAGAGAAATTAATTTTACATTGTTATAGTGTGATGAAGGCTTTTTTTATGAGTAAATTAAAAAAATTCTAAATAGGATGTTTATGACCAGAAGAGAGTTTTAACTTCTATAACTGAGGAAGTATGTCTATGCTGTTTGATATATGGAGTCCTGGTTCTGCATCTGTGGATTCATGCTTTGATGTATGAACTTTTATATCAAGAGCTAGATGATAAGTTGAAAACGACTATTGACAATACTACATCAAAACTGGTTGCCTAGAAAAAGTGTATTTTTTTTCCTCTTATCTCCCAGTTCTCAAATTTTATAGATTCCTCTAGTAGTGTTTGTAAAAGTTTCATTTAAACCTGATCATCCTCATGGGGAGAAGTACCTGTGAAGAGTAAGCAATCATATTCTCCATTAGACAATTTTGTGAGGAAGCACACCAGGAAGGTGCTGGGGTGAGTTTGCAATCACATGTGCTGGGACATTTAAGATAAAGTGAAGTCCAGACTCTCTAATAACCACCTTGATTAGTGAATCTGTGAAAATGTGAGGGAAACCCTGCTTATGTGTGTATACTTTTAGGAAATTAGCTCAGAATCCCTCAGGAAACCTTAGCGTCTGAGATATCAACATCAAGCCCTGCTGATCACATTAATTCCTTAACTGGTATTGCCTTATCTTAGACATTGCTGCCAGCATGTGAAAGGACGTGTTTCGAGTGGGCTGCTCTTTGCAGTTGCCAGCAATACTCTTTGGGGTATCTAGAGGCGCAGAGTTAACTGCTGAAGCAAACTACAGGAACTCTGAGCGTTCTTCGGACTGCAGTGAGAAGCTTGGAATGGGGCATCACCCTGAATTGCTAACATTTCCCAGTAACTCTGATTTCTAGTTGAGAACAACTTGGCATTTATTTTACAATCAGTGGAATGGCTTTCACTTTCTGTCTTGTTTTGGCTTACTTTCGCTTTTTTTTTTTTTTTTTTAGCCGCACTGCAAGGCTTGCCAGGATCTTACTTCCCCCAACCAGGGCTCCAACCTGGGCCCTCAGCGGCGAAAGCACGGAGGCCGAACCAGTGGACTTCTGGTGAGTTCCCATGGTTTGCTTTCACTTTTGACCATGGAATTAGTGAGGAAGGTTTTGCCAGCCTAGTGGCCTGGACCTCCTTGTTAGCTCCTTTTGGGCAGTGGACATTCAGCCCATTTGCCTGAGGGTAAATAACCAGTTCTGTTTTCCTGTTTTTCTGAAGGAGAACTGCTTCATTATGTAGCCTAACCTTGGCTGGAGCTAGAAGTTAATAAAATTGAGACCCACCTCTGAGGGGCAATACTTGAGCTGCTCGAAGTCAGTTATATTTTTTGTTTCAACAGCTGCCTACACGCCACTCATTGGTTTTTACTCTCACTCACATCACGTATATTCAGCCCATAAAATTTGATTAAAATATTAGAATACATTTTTATTTTATTGCTTTTTGCATCTGAGCATAGCTTACCCAGACAGCTACATCACAATGTGCACATTATTGATTATTCATGAAGACACTCTAGGCATTGTAAGTATGAGTTTTTCTTCAAATGGAGTAGGCCTAGTCATATAACTGAAAAGATTAATACGAGCTGGAGCAGCAAATGAGGAAACCAGGAAGGCCAGCTTGCAAATCTGATTAAAATGTCTAGTATATTGAAATTGAGGAGAAGATGTAAAATTAAGAAAGTTACAAGCAGGAAATGGCAAACACCAGCTGAGGCGATAGGGAATGCCATATGTTATATGTTCTTCATGGTTTTTTTTTTCTCTTGCTTTTTTCAAAAAAGACTATATATAAAATACATTTTATATATATATATATATATATATATATATTTATATATATATATACGTGCATATATTTCCTTGGCACATGTATCATTAAGGATCTCCTCAGGAAGTCAAGTTGATATATTTATTATTTTTGAATAACAAAAATCCAAAGTTATTTTCTGCAGCATCAGGTTTGCATTGATAACAGTAATACCATGACTCTAGTCATTGTTAAAAGATTTAAAATTCTAGTCAGTTTTCTTTTGGTTTTCCTGTTGGATTTTATCTGTCCAAGTTCTGAGCTCTGCTGTCTCTCTGTGTTTCTGTTGATGAGCATCCAAGGAATGGTTTTGGAGCCTGTTCCCATCTATTCTTCCCACAATATTTGTTTAACACGGGATAAACAACTGATCACAAAGGATAAACAGCGATAGAATATTCTTAATCTTATTGTATTAGGGACATGCAAATCTAGTCAGCATTTATTACACAGAGGCCAATGTGAATTTTATTTTATTTCATAATGTGTAATTAGTTTTGAATGTCAAAATGAATTATCCCATGTCTGTTTCCTGTGCAGATTTGTTTTAAAAATTTGACATTTTCCCCTTGAATTCACTGTTCAGAACCCATCTGCATATTTATATTCTTTCATCATATTCTGCTATAAACAATAATCAATAAAGCATCCAATAAAAAGTCTAGAATTTCTAGTTGTCTAGAAGATCAACAGCTCTCGTAAAAGGAGCAGCTATTCATCCTGTCGCCTCATCTACATTTCTCCAGGCCTTAGATGTCTTTGACCTTCCTAGTTTGCCTTCCAGATGGCAATAGCAACTAAATTTCCTCTACATGTTCTGTATTCATAATTTCATGGAGCTTATCTTAATGAAAACCTCTTAGCCCTGATTAATAATTTATTATCAGTTTACAGATTTGCAAAATTTATATCAAGAATTTGCTCCCTCCTTATTACAAAAAAAGAAAAAATAGCAATGATGCTTTCCATTTTAGAAAGGAGGCTACCACTTAAATGACTTAGCCATATTCTATGTCTTAGCTCTCTGTTTTTCTGCTTCTCCAAACCTGTGGGGACTGTTCTCCTTTTGGGGAGACAATGGAAGTGAGCTGTAGTAAAATAAAGAAATATGTTTCTTTGTTTTTTGTTTTATGTTTCTTTGTTTTATCTTTTCTGAATAGCATATCTAGAAATATTCATTCTGGGTATGCTATTCTCTTCTGGAAGACCCATTTGCTAGAAAGAAAGGATTCCTAGTTCAGTCAAAAATTGGCAGTGACCTGGTATATCAGCTTATGCTAAAAATAGACTGCAAAAAAGGCTCTTGTTAAAATGTTTTCTAGACAATGATGACTTTAGCTAGCACAGTTACTAGGACCAACTTTTTAAAGGGAATTTACTGGTAGGGATGCAAACATTACAATTCCTAATTCAGAAGTCCAAAAACTCTAAGACCTGGAGAGTGTAAAGGGTTAGGGATAATAAAAAGCTGTGTCTACAGAGATAGCAATAAGCTTTAGATTATTCTACAAAATCTTGAGTTACTGGATGTTTCAAATAAGGCTCCCCTCTTCCTCTTCTTCATCTTTCTTTTTTAAAAATAAGTAAATTATCTATCTATGTCTTAGTCGTCTATTGTATATCATAGATGATAGTCTAGGTGAGGAAAATGGAACCTGGAAGTAGGGAAAAAAATAAAGCCTTACTCTTTTTATATTATTAATGAAATAGTAGTTATAAATACAAAATCCCAGGATAATTTGGCTGACAAATGTATCAGACCTAGCTAACTCTTTTTCTCAATCTTTACAAAGAGAGATGCAGAGCAGCAGTCAGGAATCAATGTAATTTATGTTTCTCAGGAGAGAAAGAAGAAAAACTGAAGGAAATAAGGACTATGTCAGAGCAAATGATTAAGAAATTACACTACTGTGAAGTTTAAAAAAACTGTAGTATCAGGAGAACAATTGAATGAGAAAATAAATGAGCTAGAGTACAGCAGTCAGTAAGTTTTGGAAGTGGGAGATGGGAAAGAAAGAAGACACTTTGGAACCTTAATGTAAGATAAGTGAAATAGAACTGTATTCCTGTCTGTCATTGTCTCTCCTCGCTTCCTTCCTCCTCACCCAATCATCACGTGGAAGGTCAGTGAAACCTGTCAGTTGGGACTGGATTCTCATGAAGGTGTACACCAGTCATCCAGGAGGTGATATCGCTTATGCGGAGTGATTTTTTGTTTGTTTGTTTGTTTGTTTTCTGCGGTACGCGGGCCTCTCACTGCTGTGGCCTCTCCCGTTGCGGAGCACAGGCTCCGGACGCGCAGGCTCAGCGGCCATGGCTCACGGGCCCAGCCGCTCCGCGGCACGTGGGATCTTCCTGGACCGGGGCACGAACCCGCGTCCCCTGCATCGGCAGGCGGACTCTCAACCAGTGCGTCACCAGGGAAGGCCTATGCAGAGTGATTTTTGATAAATGTGCTTAAATAAATACATATTCCCATTTCAACTAAATCATTTGGTGGGAATCACAGGGTAAAATGCCACATTATGAACCATATCAGTTGTCCCCTAAAAAAGTGAAGGTAGAGTTTTTGTTCTTGTAAATACTGATAGATGATGTTTCTATTAGTACTTGTTTTTTACAATGATATTTGCATTCTGTGTGATGTTCAGGTATGGAATATTGCAGGGATAGGAAAATAAGCAAGAAGGGGAAAATATAGAAGTATTTTGCAATTTTGTAACATTTCCAGCACACTGACTTCTCCTTTTTTTTTTTTAAATTTACTTTAATTGATTTTTCTCTGTTGTACACATTCCTAAACAGAGCTGTCTTTGAGTAAAGTGTTACTTTTCTTATATGATTTAATTGTTACTGGGAGAATCCTATTTCTTCCCAAATATTTTACTTTCTTACTCTTTCAGTCTCTATAGTTTGACTATTCAGAATTGACTTCATCAGGTCTTCAAAAATGTCCCATTGAAATTTCTTTATACTGTGTAAGATAACATCTTGAGCTTCTGACAGTGGAAACCAGGGTGGGTGGGTGAGGGTGGACTTAATTCAGTGAGATAAACCTGCTTGAATGTAATATAGGCTAAGTGTGAGGATGGAAGGGACAGCAATGTTCCAACAGGGAAGCTGAGCAGGGAGGTAAGAAGTTGTTATGTAGATGGGAGAGTTGTAAGTTACTTTGAAGAAAACTAGTTAGCAGTTAAATATAGCTTCCATTCTAGAATTGAACAGATGAGTTACTTAAAATGGTTGCTTTGGGGGGCAGGTTGAAGAATTTCATGTCATTCATCATTTTACTGAGACTGATATACAAACAGGCTTACTTTCTATTTTAAAACAAAGAAAACAGAGGGCTCTGACAGAAGCACACTGTAATTGTGACCATGTGTGAAACTCATATATAGGCCATAACACTATTTCTACCTGCCCCTGCAGGAACTAAGACATTTGGTGAACTACTTTCTAAGACTCCAAATAGATTATAAAAAATTTAGAAAATATAAAGAAAAAATTACATGTAGCATCACCTTCCAAAGACAACTTCTGATAATATTTTAGAATATTTATTTCTTGTCTTTTTTTCTTTTAAATTAATAATGTTTCTCATCATCTTATGAAGGAAATAGATAGCCATTGTAGGAAGTTTACAAAATTCAGAAAGTAGAAAGAGAAAAATTACCCCAAGCCCTACTATAGATGGCCACTGTGAACTTTTGGGTGTATTTCCTTCTTGCATTTTTTTTTTTTTTTTTTTGGTGTGTATAATGTGATGTGGTAGACTAGTGGTTGACCTCAAAATTCATTCTGCTTTTCTTCCTGGATACATGGCCATCCAACTAAAATCTACATTTCCCAGGTTCCCTTGAGGCTAGGTGTGGCCACGTGACAAACTTCTTATCAATGAGACATGCGCAGAAGTCATATGTGGAATTTCTGGTCATTTTCTGTAAGGTGACTGCTGGAGCCCTGTTCCTCCATTTTATTCCCATTCACAGGGCTTGATTGCTATGATGGAGCAGGAGTTCCAGGCTAAGAGGGAAATGGCACATGCATCCACCCCAGCCTGGGTTCTGCACACAGTCTTCATCTTGGAGAACCCATGTGCCCTTTGGGGACTTTCTAAGGGGTATTCAGCAGAAGGAAGCCTGAGGGTTTGTAACTTGGTTGTTAAGAGCTAATGATCCCCAAAGGGAACTATATTCAATATCTTGTATATATATATATATATATATATATATATATATATATA